TTAATAGGCTGTTACAGCTCATAGATTGAGTAAACGGCAGGATTCAATTAGCTTCAACCTTGTTTTCATCGATTTAATCCTTCACAATAATCCTTGGCTGTCCATAGCACTCCGAATAAATCGAAAAGTTGACAAAAACAAAACAGTAAAAACAACATTGCGGCTCGATTTTGCTGAATGAAAACTTGTTCTGCGCCCGCGTACAATCTTTTACTAGTCAGCGACGCTTTTCAATAGGGGAATTTCTCGAGTTACACGAGGCTATTTTCCAACTTTATTTGCATTTTACTCATTAGTTTCATCGGTGACCTATCTTCAAATTTTGACCACGAATTTATTTTGCGGTAAATTTTATAAATTTCAAATTTTAAAAAAATCTGTAGTGTGGAAATTTTGCAATAAATTTTTCGCTTTTAAAAAAATCACACACTACAGAATTTTTTTAAACTTTCACCACAGTTGCAGAGCATCATTTCTTATTGATATATGAAATAAAAAAGATAGGTCACCGACATCGTTTTTGAGATAGCGGCACATTTATGGGTTAAATTGGAAGGCTTTATGCTGTCGTCATGTTGCCATGGGAACATTAATGTTGTCGAAATCTAGTTTAAAATGTTCCTTAGGTGACCAATATTGCCACCAAGTCGAAAAGAATTCGCGTTCTTCACGAATAAGCCTGTTTTACGGAATTATTGCTTAAACAAGAATAACTGTAGGGAGCCACCTTAAGCAGTTTAAGAGAACTTTGGTCAATTTTGACCTGCGATTTAATGCTATTTTAGGCGAGACCACCCCAGAGTAGGCCGTCACATGTCAATACAATATGTAAATCAATCAGAGTCACCATCTTGATCATTTTCCGATTTCTTGCGAGGCAAATAGTATTTCCAACGAAAGTACATCTGCAGACTACATGAAACTTTAAACTGCAGAAAATTTCACAATCCGTTATCAAACTCATGTCACAGAAGTGTTAAAGGACAAATATGACAACTGAATGGTACCCTTTTGTGAAATTTTTGGCCAGGGGTGGGTATTTATTTTTTAATTGATATTTGAGGTTGGGTAATCAAATTTTTTGACTTTTTAATGGTTGGGTCAGCAAAATTTTTCCCACAAAAACATTTCTTTTCGGTGCCACCCCCCGCCATAAATTATGACCCGTCCCTAATTGGCGGAAGTCACTGTGGGAGTCGGATCTTTGGTATGGGACCACTGATGCTTGTATGAGATGGCATATTTAATTTGCATTGAATTATGCTTGCGACATCGTGGACCACTGGCGCTAGTTCTTCTGCATACCTTTTAAGACACCATGCAGGGATATTATCCGCACCTGTGGCTTTCCTAGGATTTAAATGTTTTAGGACGGTTTTGATTTGGCAAAGTTGGATTACCTTTTTTTCCACTCTGTATTATATTAGTAAATGCAGGGTGTCTAAAAAAACTGCAACCCTTTGAAATCAGATATTTTTAGAATTTGTACGATTCAGCAGTAATTTATCCCAAGGGTGCGTAAACACAATAGAAAGGAATTTCATGCTTAGGAATGTGCTGTATAACGTGGACAATTAGAACGTATTTTCAAATCCCAGGGGCATACTAAGTTGCACAGTGGCTGTTATGCAAATTATAGGGTTGCTTGTATAAGTACATAATTATGGATTTTATTATAATTAGCAATTAGTAGTTAAGTTCGTAGTATGTGATCGCTAAAAGTTCGACCGTTTTGGGAGGGTTCATTAAACCATCAATACACTGACAGTATTGGCGAAAACGGATGGAGAATATATTGGGTCCAGAGGTTAAGGGGCACTTATCGTGGAAAAGCAAACACTTGTCTAACTCTTGAAAATCCACACCTCTTTTATAACCCACACATGCAAACATCACCAAATTAGAGAAGCGGTGGGATATATAGGAGCTCTTATAACTGTTATGTCATAACTATTATGTCATTATGTCATGAATGCATGGTAATACTAATCATCTATAACTTGTTTTCATTTAGTAAAGTTATGTAGTCAGTTGCTTGATTTTCTTGTAGACATTGTAGACATTTTTTTACAATTTGGCAAATTTTAGCTGTGTCGCCGTGTCTGTGAAGCTTCCGGACTGGCGAAACGTCCTGTGGTAGTTTTGAAGGGAAACAGAAAATGACAGCACGTGCTCGAGTTGAGAGTATCAAACAATGGAATCATATTTACTAATTAAATTAATTGTCCAAATCTGTGTTTTAGGCTTCCAATGAAGAACATAATACATCTGTACTCTTACAACATTTAACGGAGTAATGATTCTTGAAGAATTGGTAGGTGTTTTTGTATCTCTTGGCTCAAGTGTGGTAAAAGGAACACCACAAATATCCCGAGAAACTTTGCGTAGAGAATTAATCATACCAGAATTTGAGGAAAATACTGAACGACACGAAATATCCAATGGCTTCATACACCGTGAATACGAGCAAGAGGCGGATCCCGAGTTGCCTTATCAGTTCAGTATGAAGAAAGTATTCCGGTGCAAGCCGATGAACAACCCAGGCGCAGTCTCCGTGAATCATTCTTCCAAAGTTGTATGGCAAATATCGGATTAGTAATGGCGGTTGTTTTCATATCAAGCTTTCTCACAATTGGGGCTGTCTTTGTGGATTTGAATACCACTGATGCGTGCATAGAATGGATGTATAAAAATCTCACTATTCCATCGCACGTGAAGACTCTACAAATGGTTGGACTGTCTGTCAAAATGCTGCCATTGATTATATGGTTTCCGGCATGCGTTGTTATGTTGTGGGGTTTCATAGAGTTCAAAAAGCATTATCTTCTGTGCCTGTGTGTTTGTCAGTTGGTGACAGGATCCATAAATTGTGTTTATAGAAGTGTAATGTTTGAAAAGTTTGAGACAACCCACGTTAGCTTCAATCTATACAGGTAACTAGTTATACAGTATAGTAACGTGAAAATATGTTCGTAAGAAAGTTTGTAGACCGATATTGGCACTAGCCAGTTCATGGCTGCCAGACGCCAATGTTATCATGATATTCTAACGAAGAAAATCAATACCAGAAATTTCAAACAAAAATAGCCTCGACGTTTTGAATTAATTACCCTTTCGTGATTTGGCGTGCTCATTGTTCATAAACTACCCTATTTATTGATTTAGATTATTAAAAATCTTTAATTTAAACTGTTACACACGCAAAAATCTCACATCTTGTGGCAAGTCTGCTAACAAGTCGTCAACAAGTTGTTTTCGCACTGCTTGTCCCAAGTTGTCAACAAGTTTGGAACAAGCTGTTAACAACTTGTAACAACCTTGTTGATATTATCAGACTTGTTGCAAGGTTGTTCCAACAAGTCCGATGTATAAGTCATGATATAACAATGTTGTTACAACCTTGCGTCGTCAACCTAGTAACATTCTTGTTATATCATGACTGTATCAGACTTGTTAGAACAACCTTGTAACAAGTCTGATAGTGCCATCAAGCTTGTCACAAGTTGTTAACAGTATGTTCCAAACTTGTTACAACAACTGGGAACAAGCAGTGCGAAGACATTAGCAACTTGTTGACAGCTTGTGAACAGATTTGTAACAACTTGTTTGCAGACCTGTAACAACTTGACCAATGTGCGTTTTTACGTGTGTACTCGTCTGTCACTCGGTGTAGTTTTAATTTAGAATATATACTTTTTGCCGTGTTTATCACAAAGAGCCAAATCACGAACTAATTCTTTTATAATAATTAATTAATTCAATTTCTCCTAACGCTTGCAAAATGCTAAGACGTTTGTGATTGGTCGCCAGAAAATCGCCAGATCTGATATTACTCATGGCTTTCCTTTTCGCGCTCATTCTTCGCTCGGAAAATGAGTGTGGGAAGTGACGTCTGGGTTCGCCATTGAATTGAATGGGGTTCGCATACTAGCTTTACGGCAACATGGCAATGAAATGCAAGTGGAGTTTGAAAAATTTTGTTGTTACATTGTTGTGGTCTGCCTATATTTTTTTAGCCTGCGTAGCAGGCGCTATTTAGGGGGAGGGCGAGGGTGGGAGAAACTAGGGGAGGAATTGGGCAGATATGAGAAAACATATGGCTTTCCTGCAGGCGCTATTTCTTTCTCGCCCCTTCCATTTTTCCTCGCTCTTTCTCTCGCCTTCGCATCCTCCCCCCTTAAATAGCGCCTGCTACGCAGGCTAATATTTTTTTTGAATTTTTCGTATTCAGTTAGGAAAACCAGGATCCATTGCACTACGTGTGCTTCTCTGAAACATTTCTATACCGAACTTTGTGATAAACACGGCAAAAAGGATATACTCTAAATTAAAACTTCACCGAGTGACAGACGAGTACCCGTACTGCGGACAAGTAACAGACGAGTAACAGTTTAAATTAAAGGCACAGTTCAGCCTTTTGAATGATAGTTTTTAAGGCCCATTTGATTTTCAGGCGCCCTTTTAATTGAAAAAGTAACTAGGAAAATCAATTAAGCATACTTAATGTTTTTAACATTTTAAAACATTTTTACTGTTAAAAACATTGAGTTTACTGATCTTGAATTATGCATAATTGATTTTCCTAGTTAGTTTTTACAATTATAAGTGCTGAAATACACCTTAAAAACCATCATTCAGAAGGCTGAACTGTGCCTTTAAAGATTTTTTAAAATATAAATTATAATAAATAGGGTAGTTTATGAAAATATAAATGTACTGAATACGCTGTCTTTTTTACTAAAGTATACTCAACATCAGTTTTTTAATGGAAACAATATATCAAAGCAATCTTACCTTATAGGTTTCACGATTTCCAGATCTATTGTTCCTGATCTTTTTTTGCTGCTCAGTTCCATTAAACGATATTTTTGGATCTCTCATTCATTTGATGTTATTTTTAAAATCAGACAAGCCGCACTCATTCCACTGATCCACTCCTGAAATTCGCCATACCTTTGAGATCAGTGGGAGGTTCACCACCCATTTTAACATAGTGACGCTCCCTTCCCACGAATTTTCGTACTATAATATGTTTGACAATTCGTAAATTATTGTGTTTACAGACAAACACACACACCAGCAGATACCGATTACCCCAAGATTATACAAAACTAAGCGCTGTTTTATTTTTTCTCTCTAGATTACCAAGCAGCACAATATCTACGTTTTCCGTTTTGTGCTGTGCATACCTAGTTGCCCGTAAGTTTAAGAAAGTCAACCCGACAACATCCTACAGTTTGTTCCGAATTTTTTCCATCCTTTCCCTCGCCTTCCTTGCTTCTATTTTAATTTCTGATACCTACACCTTTGTTGTCATCAAATACTTTAAGGAAACGAAAGGAAGGATTAAAAAGGCAATAATTGCTGCACTAACTCCTGCCATAATATTCCCATTTACTGCGATTACGAAATACATTGTTCTTAGAAAGAGCTCGGAGATTATCACACCAGACCGTGCTTTTGTATTGTATTATTTCCTACGCGGGGCTTCGATTGTACTGTACCGAACTATGCAGGCAGGTTTTCAAAACATCTGGCTTTTCGTTGGTTTATCACTGTTACATGGAGAATCAAACGTTCTGAGCAAGGCTACACTTTTAACTTTCGTATAAAAATGTGGCCGTTTTTTATTAAGTACATTCTAAATAACACTTGTTGTTGGTCACGATTAGAAGTGTTACCTCTAAATTCGCCGAGCATTCGTCGATTTAAACACTGATCTTGAAATACAATATATATATATATATATATATATATATATATATATATATATATATATATATATATATATATATATATATATATATATATATATATATATGTATATATAGCACAATCTGCAGACATGCATGTTTCGGCGTTCAACGCCTCGTCAGTGCAGCTTGGTACACGTCTAGATACGTGAGCCACTCGTATTTATACCCCATGAACTTGCTCTCACCAAGGCATGTGGTACAACACGGCGCTCAACGCATCCAGACATGCGCAGAGCGTAATGGGGCCAGAGTGCTCAAACGACCACAAGGGAAGTGAGCTTTATATTTATATATATATATATATATATATATATATATATATATATATATATATATATATATATATATATAAAGTTAGATATTTTTCACGTGTTTGTTTCACTAAGGTATACAGTCGGTTTAACTTTGCCGGTACCCTGTTCGATAAGTATT